TCTGTTTTATGACAGCACCTTTGGCCTGGCTGACTCCGAGGGCCCCTGCTTCGCTGTCACTGTTTATAACATGGTGCAAAGTTGGGGTGTGCTTATTGGTGATTCAGTGGCTGTCCCTGAGCCACACCTCCAGCACCACCACATCCAGTACCAGGGCAAGGTGAGCATAGTACTCTGTATAAGCCAGTGTTTCCTCCTTTTTTTGCCCTCTGTGGTGGTAGGATCCATAGCCCTTGCTCTGGAGGATGTGGGATCTGGGAAACCCAGTAACAGCAGGGCAGGCAAGGGTAGAAACACAACTGTAGCACTTAGGTGGCTTAAGGGTTAACACCCGTCCCTTCCCATGCCCCTCCCTCTGTTTGGCATTTATTCCTTTCCACTTACAGTGGTGGGAGGCAGGACTTCATTATTTCCAGGTGTTAACCAGGCTCCTGCAGGGATCAGGAAGGAAGTTTAATGGCCTAGGATCCTAGATCCTCCTGGATGATGTTATGATCCCTTCTGGCCTTAAACTCTGTGAACCCATGACTTTCTTTGTTCCCTGCATCAATTCCTGTGACTTTAGACCTGAGTTAGGGGCCTTTATCACAGCCCAGTGTGGGAATGTGCATTTTTCACATCCCTTTTCTATAGCCACAATGAACATGACTTTAAATTGAGAGAGAGAATTTCAGTTTCTCACATACTTCATCTGGTACTCCAATGTCTGTCCCCAAATTAAATGCAGAAGAAGTCTGCTAGCTGTGATCACTCAGGATGGAAAGCGTTAACCACAAGACTGTTTCCAGAAGATATACACAGGTGCCAGGGGCACCTCATTTCCCACTATTGCATGTCTTCTGATTCTCTCTAGTATTGGGAGGACTGAGAACTCTGCTTTTCTTTTTCTTTTTTTTTCCCCAGGGCATATGGGCTTGAAACTGCCATTGGTAGGGTCCAGAATTAGACAGTACTTTAGCTGAACCTCTTAGCTGGGTTGAAAGATTTCAGCTCAAGTCATAAAAACAGCCACCAGTAGAGATCAGAATCAACAACCCACCTCTGCATAATTGTTCTCTGTCTCTGTGCCCACAGACCTTTGATTTCCCTGGGATCCGCGTAGAGACACCGCTTCTCCTAGTGGTGAACGGCAAGATTCAGGGATCCCACACCCAAGCAGCAGCTACCTTGGCATACCAAGCACAAAGCGAGTGAGATTGTGGGGAGGGGAACGGCGGGGTAGCTCGTCCTGTTGATGGTGCCAAAGCGATTGGATTGGTTGTGCTCTGCTATTTCTGGGTGATGCCCAGAGGCTTGATGTCTCTGAGAGGCTGTGTAGCCATCAGGATACAGAGAATTTACAACAAGGTAACGGGAACAGAGAATGGGGCCATCTCCCCTTCAAACTAGGGTAGCTGGGATGGCAGATAAAATGGAGGAGCTCAGAAGGGCACAGTCTTCCTTATGGAGAGGGGTTGAGAGAGTTCTTCCCACCTTTCTCAAGACTCTCTCTGCTCCAGATAATCTTGTTCCTCTGACATTGAACCTCTTTTGTGTTCTCCCTGTGTGTACCCTGACAAACCACCCCCAATAGCTAATCCTGGGTCTGGAGATGTCCTAAGGGGACTGGGGCAACCCCTTACAAAGAAGCCCAGATTTCTTGTATCCTCATGGCCCCTTAGCCCCACATTCCCTTTTCTGTCTCAGTTCTGCTCCTTTTTGATCCTGTTTGGTCTGTCCTTTCTGAGGCAAGTTTGTAAAAGAGCCTTGGGACTTTTGGCTACCCAACTGCTGAGAGTCATAGGGCTGGATTCCCTTGGATCCTTGGAGAATGGGTCTGACCCAGTCCTCTCCTCTTGGTGTATATAGATTAGTTCAGTATTTATTTTGAAAGGCTTGATCTGTTTTATAATTTTATATGCTTTTGAAGTTTTTTTTCTAATGAATAAAATTTGTTTTTGATGCACTCTGGAGTCAGCGAGTTACATTTGTTTATCCATCCACGATCCCTGTGCCTCCCCATCACACACCTCTCTCTGCCTTTCCCTCTCCCCATTACTCATCTCCCTTTCTTCTTAGACCTTAATTTTCATGATGCACTTATACCACTAGAGCAGTGAGTCTCAACCAGGGTGCCACAGCAACCTGGAGTGTCCTGAGGTGCTTTTAAGGGTGTTGTGCTGTTAGGCATCTAGCATATTGGTACTATTAAGTATGCAAACAGATGAACCCAGAAATTTCAAATAGGAATCCAAGTGTCAAAAGCATTTTGTCTTGTGGTCTTTTTGACTTCGTTACAACAGGAGAATTGTACTATTATTTTTCTGTAGGCAAAAAAACAAATGAAAACTAAAAGCTAGCATTCATCAAGCAGTGCCTTGAGTCTGAACAGTAGAGAATCACTGTTCTAGGGAAGGTAAATCAGATGTACCTGAGACTTTGGGGGCTTGCTGTGGACATTCTGGGGGCAGCCTGAGATTTGAGGTAAGAGCAGGTCTTGAACTTGCCTCTGGATCAATAGCACACCACCTTCATTGCTCTAGGACTATGCTCCCCTGTTGTTGAACATAGTAGTTTAATTTTGGAGCAACTCCACTGAGTTTAATTCACTTAAAGCAGGGTGAAATGAAAGCACAGTTTATTCCAAAACATGGTATAAAACTCCTTTTAGTATTTTCCTCCATTGATTTTGCCAAGGTTTCCCATATGTTTCTGTTATCGCCACATATTCTCAACATTCCTTATTATAGATTTCTTCCCCAACTTCTGTTCACCTTGAATCCAGATACATGCCAGGATTTTCAAAGCAGTGCAAGGAAATGAGGTGTCTAATTCCTACAAAAGTCAGGCATCTGTATACTTTTGAAAACCCCACTAGCCAGCTTTCTGCATCCTTAGCTACTTAAGTTACTTTTAAAAATCTGACTTTCCAGAGTCCGTACCTTCTGCCCTAGGATTTCAGGATGGGCAAAGTCCCAAGTGCTAGATAGTGTGATATATTGCTATTGATTTTTGTAAGAATTTTTTGGGTTGGGGGTGGAGGAGGCGGTCAAGTTACCCAAGGCCACAAGGACTAAATGTTTTCAAACCTGGGAGCTTGGAGTAAGGCTTGAACTCTATAGTTCTATCAAGGCATTTCAGGTACTTTGCTAGCATCTTCCACTATCCTGAAGTAGTGGTTGGAAATTTTTCCACGTAGAAACGTGCCTTCAAGATTGTGAAAGATTACTCATGGGTAAATAAATATTTTTCAAGTAAGGCATGATTACACTTCTGGGCCATTAGAGCTTCCCCTTGCCTGGAAAGTAAGTGTCTAGAGAAACAGAAGACCAATTAAATTCCTAGAGTGGTTCAGATCATGTGCTCGAGGACTAGGGATGTTCCAGTGTTGTATTCTAGGCACCTTGTGTTGAGTGCCAAAGACTTGAGACTCCATGCAACAGTGAGCCTACGGGTTTGTCAAGCTGGGGGCCTGTTGCAGGCAGAGCTAAGGCAACAGACCCCCTTACTGGAGATGTAGTGCATTGCTACAGAAGGTTTTTTTTCTGCCCGTGTATCTACACTACTTCCCCCTAACCCAAACTGCCAGAAGACTACTATCAGCAAAGCTGTGTCCAGATGGGGGTGGAGAGCAGGGAAGGCAGACCTGTAGCAGTTACAGGGCTGTTTCTTTTCACATCTTCTAGCCAAGGTAGTTATGTCAGCAAACTTTGTAGTGTAAATCAGCCCTCAGCTCTGTACGATGCCTCTCCTGTGTAACAAGGGGGTTGCTTCTTGGCCAGTTCCACAGTAGAGCATGTGCTTTCATGAACTTCCTACTGACTGGCTGGGGTTGTCTCTAGGGAGGCCAAAATCTGAAGAATGCAAAGATTCAGTAATCCTTTTTACCCATAAACAGCTCTGCTAGTGCCCCTTCCGCTTTCCTATCCCTTGGTTTCCCACACATAACTCTGCCAATGTCCTTCAGTGCTGACCTTCTGCTTCTTGCTGCCCTACCCGTGTTCTCCCCCAAACACTGAGTTCTGAGGCTACACCTTGCTCCTGACCCATAGTCCCCACCTGCCGTATTCCAGTTCCAGGATCTGAACTTCAGTTCTCAGGAGATGAACTAAGTTTTTGCTAACTTTAATTTTGAGCCAGATCTGTAAGGAGTTGCATTTAATTACTTGACCCCACCTCTGCAAGTAGAAACGGACAGCAAACTGAGCTCAATTCTTTAATTGGCTCCCCATGGGGCACAAGTTGTTAATAACCAAACTAAGAAAAAGTTCAGACATCACCACAAAATAATTATTCCAAAGAGATTCACACTGCTTTCTTTGTCTTATTAAGCGGCTCTAACTCCTGCAAGTGAGGGGAGGGGTAACTCTTGACACTGTCAATCCCCTAAAACTAATGCAGTTCAGACCGTGGGTTATGGCCCAGTGATCAGAACGCTGGACAGGGAGCCAGGATGCTTGATTTGTTTTCTCATCCTTGAGAAGAGAAAGCCAGGGAAGGGAAGGTTGTGGGTTAGAATAGAGGGAGATGACCAAGAGTTGTGGCCTCTGGATTCTGCTTCCAGATGCGAGAGAGGAGTGAGGTCTACTGCATATGAAGTCTAATGTTACCATGATCTGATCCCAGTTGAATGTTTTCTGGAGTCAATGAGAGCATTATTTGACCAGCTTCAGTTAATGGGATAACAACCCATTTAATATAGGGAAATGCTTGCACAGATACAGAAAGATGGGGGCCAACCCCTCTGCATACACAGTCAATATAATTTTCCACGCACTGCAGCCTCCAACCCGTGTGTTGTTCCCCACCTCCCCGCAACAAATGCATATACTTATTGAGCGCAGCAGTAACAAATATAGGTACTTCACCTGTGTTCCAATTGTAAACTCAAACAAGCTTTTTTTAATATTGCCCCAAGGCCAGATTGGAGTTGGTGTCCCTTAGAGGTGAAATGGCTTGAAACCCATTCACCACCTCCTGAGCCAGCCAGTCCCCCTGCCCTGAAACCAGATTCACACCTGTTACCGCTCCCCTAGCAATGTGCGCCTCAGAGCCTCTTTCATCTCCTTATTTCTCAGGCTGTAGATCAATGGGTTGAACAGTGGAGTAACCAACACATATAGAAGGGACACCTCCTTCCCGCTGTCCCCAGAAGCTGCTGGGTTGACATAGGTGACCATGATGGAGCCGTAGAAGAGACCCACCACTGTTAGGTGGGAGGTGCAAGTGGAGAAGGCCTTGCGTCTTCCAGACCCCCGTGGCAGTTTCATTATTGCCCTGAGGACCATCACATAAGAGGTCAAGATAAAAAGGACAGTTGAGAAGATGATAGTGGAAGTCACAGCAAAGAAGGCACGTTCAATCTGGGGAGCAGGGACACAGGAGACAGCCAGCAATGGAGCAGGGTCACAGACATAGTGATCCAGGATATTGGGGCCACAGAAGGGGAGCTGGGAGATGAAGATAATGGGGGTGGCAAACCAGAAGAAGCCACCGACCCAGCAGAAAGCCACCAGGAGCAAGCAGGTCCTCTGGGACATGAGGTTGGGATAGCGCAGGGGGTGGCAGATGGCCAGGTATCTATCCAAAGCCATGGCTGAGAGGGAGAAGCATTCAGCAGCCCCCATGGAGAAAAAGAAGTAGAACTGGAAGAAGCAGGCATGAAAGGAGATTGCATCGCCCTGCGGGGTTGGCAGGTCTGAGATCATCCGTGGCACTGTGGATGTGACATAGCAGATCTCCAGGCAGGAGAAGTTCCCTAGCAGGACATACATAGGCAAGTGTTGGAGGCGGGAGCTCCTGACAACAGCCCACATGATGCATAAGTTACCTGCTAGTGTCAGGGTGTAGACAGAAGACAGGATAGTACAGAGGAGGATGCGACTGGTGTGGTCCAGGGATGAGAAGCCCAGCAGGATGAACTCAGTCACATAGCTGGTAGCATTGTCTGGATCCATTGGGAGGGCACAAGCCTGAAAGAGAATGATTCACAGGACACCTGGGGTCTGTTCATGGTTTGGATTCTATCCCCGGTTGGTAGGAGTCTGCACTCCTCTTGTTCTTCCACCAGTAACGGGAGTGGAGTCATATGCAGTGATTAAAAGTGTGTGGAAGAACAGGGGGCAGCAGTCTCACATATGCAGGTGGACTTGCATCCACAATCTATCTGATGGGATTTCTTGACCAAGGTGCAGTGATTTTCCTGTTGGTACTAGCTTCTCAAAGGCTCCTGGCTAGAGGATCTTCCTCTTCTGTTCAGTGTCAGAACGGTTGCCAAGTTTGGGGAAAGGAAGGAACTGTCCTCCCTAGGTCACACTGGGATGGACTGTGAGGGTTTTTACCTTTCTTGGTTCTGCGCAGCGCCATCCTTTTCCTAGGATCTTCTTACCTTATGTTACCCAACTACTCCCATGGTGTTGCAGCAGCACTTCCCTTTGCACCATTGTTTTTTTAACTGCTATGCTAAAAGTGTTTTTGTTGCATCAGGTATAGTTCTCTGCAGTTATGGTAAAGGAATCAGTGATGATTTGGGAGAATTCTTTGGTTAACAAATAATCTGTTAATGCAGGGACTAGATTTGATGGCCCAGGCAGCTCCTTCCAGTCCTCTGTCCCCATGTTCCTATATTACATTTCACAGGCCACATCCACGTTTATTAATCTGCAGTTGTTACTGTGCATTTAATTTAGCACTTGTTTAATGAAATGTGCAGTAACTATAATTACTGCACAGTAGTGCCGACAGACTGTTTTTTTGTGACACTTACTGTGCAGTAAGCTAATACTACTGCACAGTAGCATGTTGGCATGGTTTTTGCCCAGCACACTACTGTACAGTGTTATTAGGCTACTGCTCATTAAGCATCTCATGTAGATGTGCCCACAGTTTACCTGTTCATGTGGGATGTGAGACTTTGGGATTATGGTGTGTGGGATACCCTTCCTACTGGATAAATATCCTGCACTGCAGCTCTTGACTAGTGGTTCTTCTTGGGGAATGGATTTTGTTGGCTTTCCACAGCTAGATCCCCTCCTCTGTGCTAGTCAGCACAGATTATATAACAGTGATTCTCAATCAGGGTGCCACAGCACCTCGATCTTTTCAAGGGTGCCACACAACGTTAGTACTGTTAGGTGTACAAACAAGATAAACCCAGAGATTTCAAATGGAAATCTATAGTTGTGGTCTTTCCGAGTTCTTTGCACCAGAAAAAGCTGCCCTATTATTTTTCTGTAGTCAAAACAGAGAGTGAAAACTCAGAGTTGGTATTTTTCAAGGGGTGCCTTGAGTCTAAAAAGGTTCAGAACCACTGTTCTAGAGGCACTGTGGGAACTGGTGGATGTCTTTCTTTCTCTGCCCTTTGGATCTAAAACAAAAATAACCAGATTGCTTTGCACAGAAGTGATGCCAGAACTAAGCTGGCTAGAACTGGGATTTTCAAAATCACTTCAGTTGCTCAAGTATTTTTGAAATGCTTCATAGGCATCTCTCTATATCAGTGGTCTCCAACCCTTCTATGATGACGATCACTTTTTGGAAGTAAAGGGCACCCCAGGATCAACCGTGCCCCCTGCCACACACTGCCCCTTCCCCACGCACCCCTGGATCACAGAGTGTCCCAGACCTGGCCAGGCCGGGGCCCAATCCCACTTCTGTACCATGGCTGCACTGAGCTGTACCTGCCCAGCAGCCAGAGGATCATGGTGTCAGGCCCCAGCACGGCTGGGTCTGGAAGTCTCTGTTCAGGGTCATGGTGGGGGGCAAAGAGATGCTCCCACCACTGGGCACAGCCTGGTGGAGGCCCCAGGGGCCCCATGCCCCCCCAACCTATATTTGGGTTGAGGTGGCTGCTGCTACAGGCTGCCCACTGTGCACCCAGCACAGGTTGGGGGGACATGGGCCCCCAGAAACTCCACTGGGCTGTGCCCAGTGATGAGAGCCCCCTCCCACCCATGTCCCTGGATGGCCAGATCTTCCCAGACCCAGCTGGGCTGGGGCCACTCCTACGAGAGTCTCCACTGCTGAGCTGAGCCATGCCTACACATGGCCAGCTGTAGCAGGACTTGAGGTACAGCAGCAGTAGCCACCTCCATTGCCTCCGCAGAGATGAGGAGGGAGCCCTCCGCACCCTTGGAGGAGCCCCCCTTGGCTCCAATCCTCCCACCACCCGGCCAGGCTGGGACCCCACTTACCTTCCTCTGCTCCTGGCTGGGCCGCATAGTCAGCCACTCACTGCAGGGACCTTGATCTGGCCCCCGCCCCTTCCCTCCCCCACAGATTGACCTGCTGGGGCTGGAGGTGATGGGTGTGCACATGCCCAGCTGTCCCACCGCCCAGCTCAGGATCTACCAAGAGAGGCTTTGGGATCTACCTGTAGATCAGGATCCCCAGGTTGGTGACCACAGCTCTATTTTATTAAATGCCTACACTAAGGCCTTGCTGGACGGGGACCTGACAACTGGGAAACATGACAGAGGAGCCCCACGTAAGTGCTTCAAGGACACCCTGAAGAGGTCCTTTTCTGCCTGTGATATTGAGCACAAACTATGGGAAACACATGGTGCAGATCATGGTGCCTGGAGGCTCCAAATCAAAAAGGCAACAGCCCTCTTTGAATGTCAGCGCAGAGCCAGCATCGAGGAGGAGGAGGAGGAGAAAGATGCACCCTGATCTAGCAGCAATCAGCCATGCACGTGTAACCACTGCGGCAGGATTTGCCTCTGCAGTTAGACGGATTAGCGTAACAGGGGCTCTCGGAGCCACTCTGTCATTGGCCCACCCACCTGTTTCTGAGCCAACCATCCACCTCCTCATCTGCCACACCTTGTTGTTTCTTAATTGGTTCTTATTAAGGTGGGAGGCTGCCCATTCTTGCCCCAATGCCAGGGGGCACTATCTGCAGTTTTGTTCCTCTACACTGCAGCCCATGCCTCGCAGATGGCATCCAGGTGACAACGCTCCCAGCCTATAGCCAAACCAAGCTTAGCCCTTGTTGTCAGGCCTCAGACACACACATTCATACCACCCTCCTCTCACTAGGGCCTCTCACTCTACCCCCTCTCACAGGGTCTCTTTCATGCATTGACAGCTTGTACCACCTTGCTCCCTCTTGGAGCGGGAGCCTTAGGCCATGCCTTTGGCCTTAGCTCATACGTTGGGTGGCAGATGGACTGTCTTTGGGGCTTCTCTCACCAGGGTAGTGGCCAGCCAATTACCCAAGCAGGACCAAGCTTGCCCTGGCTCCTCCCAGGACAACTCTATACACACACACACACACACACACACTGGGGCCCCACATCTCCACTCCCCTCACAGGGGCCACAGGGCTTCCCTCCCCAGTGGGGGCTCAGGTGGCCATAGCCATGCCTGGCCCCCTTGGACCCACAGTGTTGGGGCTAGGGGTTAAGGTACCCCAACCCACCTTTCACCACTGGGAGCCCCACTAGGCCACCCACTCCCAGCAGGGTGCAGTTTTAGGTCATGCCCAGGACCAGGAGCCCCCAAACCACCCCCTTAAGCTACTGCCCTTATCTCCCAGATGTTGTATACAGCCTTACAGCTAGGCAACATTTCTGTCTGGCCTGCAAGTGGTGAACAGCTCTGTTTATATAAGTGGCCAGAGTTCTAAAATGGCCGCTGCAATCAAGCACCTGCTGGCTGCTTGGCTCAGCCCTTAAAGTGGCAGGCACCAACAGTGCCCTGCCACAATTAGATACCAGCAGGCCTGCAACTGGCGTGCGCAGTTACCTTCCTAATACCTTTGTCTGCGAAGAACCGCCAAGAAGAAGAAGATGAATTGAAAAATCTAATTCTAGCTCTCTTTAAAATTGGATTTAGACCTCCAAATAACTTACAAAATTATACCATTTTAACCTTTATATTTATAATTGATGAATGAAACAGAACTGGACCAAGGGAACTTTTAAAAACTCCTTACTCTGAATTCAGACAAATTCAGGAATGGCATCATTCGTTGCTGAAGGAAGATTCATGGTGTCTGGATTTGCCTGTATATTGAATTCTTGATATGATTAAATAAAAAGATAAATGGATATATATGGACTGGACTGGACTGAACATATACATTCAATAGCAATTGTTGCATTTTAGTGTTTTTGTTATTAATTTATCATTACTGCAATAAGCACCTAGGAGCCTAGACCAGCAACATATTTTGCTGGATGCTGCACAGACCCACACCTGAAAGTCATTACCCACAAAGTTATCCCATTATAATCTTATTTGAGATTGCAAAATATTATTTTTATTGTTTTGATTCAAGTAATATAGAGCTAAAATGATTTTATTTCCAAGTACCATTAAAATACTAATTCAAGTATCTACGTTGTATTTCTAGCATTGCTTC